CTCGGTGTTTACAGTACTTTCGTGATGTTGTAGTCCAATACCGACGATGATGATGGCGGGTTCAGGCGCCAGGTGGTTGGTAGGGGGGGGTGGGTGGCTAGTATCAGTGGTAGTCGTGTTGGTGGCAGCGGTAGTGGCAGTGGTAATGGTCGCAGCAGCAGCAGCAGCATGATGGCCATGGTTACGGTACTGTCATTAGTCGGTATATTTGCTCCCTCAACGCTGGGCCCTGAACTGCCAAGACCCTAAACCCTCAACAGATCGAACCCCCCAAGCCGTACTTAAATATCAGGACAAGCAAACCAAAAACTCTAAACCCCTAAACCCCTAAACCCTAAACCCTAAACCCATAAACCCCTAAACCCCTAAACCCTAAAAGGACAAGCGAGACCCTAAACCACTAAACCCCTAAACCCCTAAACCCTAAAAGGACAAGCGAAACCCTAAACCCCTAAACAAAGGACAAGCGAAACCCTAAAACCCCTAAACCCCTAAACCCCTAAACCCTAAACCCTAAAAGGACAAGCGAAACCCTAAACCCCTAAACCCTAAACCCGAAAAGGACAAGCGAAACTTGACCTTCGAGCCGATGCTGGACATCGGCTGGCTTGCATCCCAGGGCCTTGACGAGGATCAGGGAGACCTAAAGTGGGAGCGTTTAGGTTTTGCAGGGGTTACATATAGGGTTATAGGGTTTAGGGAACTATATAGGGTTTAGGAGAGTGGGGTTTAGGGTTTATGTGTACAGGGGTTACATAGGGTTACATAGGGTTACATAGGGCTATATAGGGTTATATAGGGTTATGAAGGGTTATGTAGGATTATGTAGGGTTTAGGAAACTATATAGGGTTTAGGAAAATGGGGTTTAGGGTGTAGGGTTTGGGAGACTGGAGCCATAAAACAGAGTTGCATATGTTCCTGTGGGTATTATCGTTCTCTCAACGGGCAGTGTTCCTAGAGACAGTTGTCTAATTCCCTCCATCCCTTCAAACAGGAATCCTTAGACTGCTTCTTCGAAGCGAATGCTATTTTTGTATTGTTTTGTATGTATAGTATATATTAAGGGTTTAGGGTTTAGGGTTAATGTACCTCCAAACCCTATTCTAACTATGAAGGCCCCTCTTTTGCCCTGTTGAGCTCCTTGGGAGGAGAGCGGGAAGTTGGATACCAAAGAGGGCTTCATGCTCTCGACCAATGGGCTCTTCGAAAAGAACGCCAGCCTCTGGGTTCCTGTTAGCGGGGTTATACTTTTAAGTTTCCACAATAAGGATGCCATATCTTCCACTATAAGTCTCGATTTTGGTAGCCCTGAACCCTAAACCCGAGTTAAACCCTAGACCCTGAACCCTAACCAGAACCCTAAACCCTAGCAAGAACCCTCAACCCTAACAAGAACCCTAAACTCTAACAAGAACCCTAAACCCTAACAAGGACCCTTAACCCTATAAACCTTAAAAAGGACACTAACTAAACCCCCGACTAAACCCTGATAAGGACCCTAACTAAACCCTAACAAGAACCCTAAACCCTAAACCCTAGAAAGGACACTAACCCTAAACCCAAACAAGAACCCTATATAAACCCTAAACCCTGAAAAGGACCCTAACTAAACTCTAACAAGAACCCCTAACCCTAAACCCTTACCCCTAAACCCTAAACCCAAAACCCACAAACCCTAAACCCTAAACCCTAAACCCTAACCCAGGCCTTGATCGAGAGGACCCTCTCAAGGGGTCTCGGCTCAAGTGGCCGCCAGTGAAGGGTTACGAGGCCACGATGCGCCGCTGGACAAAAGAGCTTTATGCGCTGAACCTGGGCCCTTAGTAGAGTTTGGGGTTTAGGGTTTGGGGTTTGGGGCTCGGGGTTTAGGGTTTAGGGCTTATGGGGTTTGTAAGGTTTAGGGTGTAGGGTTTTGGGTTTGGGGTTTGGGGTTTAGGGCGGGAGCTTTACGCACTGAACCTGGGCCCAAAGTTTAGGGTTTAGGGTTTAGGGGTCCTTGTTAGGGAAGTTTCATTTTGGAGGGGTCTTCAGTAAACAACGTGCTTTCCTTAGTTTGGTAACTTACCTTTAATACTCCTTAACAAGAATCCAGGTTCTCGGCCCTAAAACCTTGGGCAACTTGTTATTGTAACTTAAGGAGCTCTACACTCTACACCCTATATAACCTGAAACCTAAACCTAAACCCACATTCCTTAACACGAACAAAAGGAACCTCAAGTTGAACGATATCCTCTTCGATGCGGTGGGCTTGCAATCCGCAGAACGTGGCCGCCTTGCCTCAAGGCCGTTCGTCTGGGGGTTTAGGGTTTAGGGCCTTTAAGGTTTAGGACCCAGGGTCTAGGATTTGGGGTTTAGGATTTAAGGTTTAGGATTTTTAGGGTTTAGGATCTAGGGTTTGGGATCTAGGGTTTGGGGCTGTTAGGGTTTATGGCATTCTTCCGTCCAAGCCCCTTCATCGACATAGAGCAACTACTCTCCATTATGCCCTGAATACCACCATTGCGGACCCTACACGCTCTATGAAAGGGCATTGGGGGGGGGGGGGTTCTGGTCAGGTTTAAGCTTAAGAGCTGATGTGAGGAAATCATCATAAGGAGTTCTAGTTAGGTAGGTTTGATGGGGTCCAAGTAGGGTTTATGAACCCCTTGCCTGCAGACCCTTCGTCATCGTGAAGCAGCTCCGCTATGCGCCGACCCTGGACCAGCTAGGTGCCGGTGCCCATGCCGATTCTGGGACCTTGCTAAGGATCTGTTTCAAGTGACGATCTGCAGTACACAGTATTGCTATATAGTAAAGAATTAAAGAGTATGGTTTCCTTATTGTGGTAAGCTAAATGAATCCGTAACACGAATCCAGGATTGGGGCTCACTCACCGTCTTGGTGACGGATGACGTCCCGGGCCTGGAGATTGAGACGGAGGAGGGGTGGCTGCCAGTGCCGCCCCGCCCAGACTGTTTCATCGTGAATGCCGGTGACCAGGTGGACTTTTGGACTCGTGGCTTCTTCAAGAGTGCCAACCACCGTGTCTGGGTTCTTGTTAAGGGGTTTAATTTAAGTTACCATAATAAGGAAACCATTTTATTTACTACAGATCCTTATTATGGCAACTTAAATTAAATCCCTTACCCTTGGCATCAAAATAGCCAAAAAGCCTTATACATTAGGGCCTTTGGGCCCAAAAGCCTTAAAATATGAGTCCTTTGAGGGTAAGGGTTAACAAGAACCCAGGTGTCCGCCCCAGTGAGCCCGGGAAGCCACGCTACTCCACAGCCCTCTTTGCCTACTTTGACTATGAGGCCCTCGTCACGCCTTTGGCGGAGATTCAAGGAGAGGATCTCACCAAGCGGGCCACAAAGGACTGGGTTCTTGTTAAGGGAGTTAATAGGGTTTAGGGTTTAGGGTATTTAATTTAAGTTGCCAGAATAGGGATCTGTAGTAAATAATTTTTTTCCTTGTTATGGTAACTTAAATTAGATCCCTTAACAAGAACCCAGAGGAACCCGTCACCACGGGCGACTACTTTGCCTTGAAGCTCTGCGAGTCTATCGGCAAACCTCCCGAGGATTGCCGTCTTCCCAGCGGGCCCACCATATTGCACGATGCTTCCGAGCTCTGAGAGGAGACCCTACAGTCAGTCTGCAGACTCTAAACGGCTTAGAGTTTAGGGTTTTGGGGTTTAGGGTTTAGGGTTTAGGGTTGAGTCGAATACTGAGGCTCGACGAATATTCAAGGAAACTGCAGGTGGGGAGTTTAGGGTAAAAAGGGCTTCCATAAGGCATCTATAAGGTAATTAGACCGACGAATATAGGGTTAGAATAGGGTTTGGGGGGGTCCTTATCATGATTATAGTATAATAGACCCCCCAAACCCTATTCTAAGTGTTCAGGCCCCTATATTTTTAATACGACGGTTATGCAATCTTTTCCAATGTCATGGTGAGTATTGTAATAAGCTTGCTTATACATCTTCTTTTAGAGTTGTTTTTGCAATAACCATCACCCTCGCTAGTGCCTCTAATAGCTACACACGCTGCTCAACTGAAAAACGGGAAGTGGAGCCTGATGGCATGGCCTTCGGCTTGTTGTCGGCACAAGCCGACCGCTAGCTGATCAATAGAGCTCTCGGGAGCTCAGCCGGGAGATCTGAATGAGAAGCAGATGTAGTATTTCAGAAGCCTGGACAACTGAAAACATCATTCCTTATGGCAGCCCAGCCCGAAACCCCCTAAACCCTAAGCCCCAAAACCTCCAACACCCCAAAACCCCTAAACCCTAAGCCCCAAAACCCCCAAAACCCCTAAACCCCTAGACCCCCCCAAAACCCCAAAACCCCCCCTAAACCCCCCTAAACCCCCTAGACCTTAAGACAGCCGAAAGGCCCGCAAGCTTCCCCCGGCCTAAGAAGCGGTCAGGCTCCCCGTTGCCATCTGGGAGTTTCCGAAACTAAGGGGTTCCTTAAATTGCTGGTCCTTATACTAAGGACCCTACTATTTAGGGTTTAGGGTTTAGGGGTTTAGGGTTTAGGGGTTTAGGGTTTAGGGTCCTTACAGTAAGGACCCGACTATTTAGGGTACTATATTAGGGTCCCCTATTTTCGGAAGCCCCCCATATTTTCCGTTGGAAACGCTGTGCAGCCGATACCGACAAACGCCAGTGAAAGAGCGGAGAGGCTTTAGGGTCTCATAGGGTTTAGCCCTAACCTCCCAGGTACCTACTATATAGGGCCCTAGGGGCTCTAGTACCATATATAGGTACCTGGGAGGTTAGGGTAGGTTTTGGGGTTTGGGTTCAGCGTTTCGGGTTGAGGGTTTAGGGTCTCTTAGGGGTTGTTTAGGGTTTTTGTGTATCAGTGAAAGGGCGGAGAGGGTTCAGGGTCTAGTAGGTTGTTTTTATGGATTTTAGGGTTTCATAGGTTGTACGGTAATTAGGGTAATTACCTATGTTACCTGTGAAAGGGCCGAGAAAGTTGACGCCAATCTGTTGGAACAGGATGCAGACGGTAGTTGCAGGTTTGAAGAGAGCAAACGTTGGAACAGCCTCGTGGAGAATTGGGCAATGCCATTAATTCCACATGACTACAAGTACTATTACGGTGACACGAACAGTGGCACGTTCTACACGGCCCTTGAGCCCTAGCCGTTGCTTGCTGTTCGCATGTGCCAGCTCGGTCTCGGAGAATTCAAGCTTATGTGCCCCTCCACCCTAAGCCCTAAACCCCAAACCCTAAGCTAGAGCCGGGCGGTTTTCGTGTCGTCCCTAAAACCCCCAACCCCTCAGGAGAAGTGCTAAAGAAGCACAAATGTGTAACTATACTAGGACTGTCCACCCTGGTATCGCTATAGAAAAACCTAAAGCTCCAAACCGTCAACCTTAAATCCCAAATCCTAAACCCTAAACCCTAAGCCCCAAACCGTCAATGACATGACATAGACCCCAGCGTCAGGCTTCCTCCGCGGTGACTGCTGAGCCGCGATGAGACACGAGATAGCTCGGAGACCCGCGCAGGTGCCTGGGACTACGTCTGATGATATAAATCCTGCATTGCACATAATAAGAAACATACCCCTAAACCCTAAACCCTAAACCCCAAACCCCCATACCATAGTTTCCATAGTTTGGGGTCCTGAACATAATGCAGAGTTTATATCATGAACCGTAGGTATCCTCCGGTAAACTTCAAGGTTCCCCCAATATAAGGGCTCTAACGATAGAAGCCCTAAGGGTCCAAGTAGTCCTTATTTATGGCTTTAGGTACCCAAAAAAGCCCCAAAGTCCTTAAATAATGGGTACCTGGACCCTTAGGGAAGCCTAAAGACTTGCTACAAGAACTAGTCTTCAAGGAAATTTGATTTTGTCATGCAACCAACAACGCCCAAGACCTTGTTCTACTTACAAAGGACCCCTAAGTTGTTAATTACATCCTATTGAAAAATGCTCATATAAGTCCTAGAGCCAAAGCCTATATTTACCACATTTAGCCCCCGTCAAAATGTATTGACCCCTAGCTTCGAGAATTATGAAGATTCTTCCTTCGGGTCCTAAGCTTTTTAAGCCCTAACACCCACAGGCTTAAACCCAAAAAGGCCCCTAACCCTGGGGGCCCCCCCTCTGCGTACACAGTATGTAAACTCGGGTGTTAACGGGTCCACGTATGTATGTATGTATGTATG